TGGAAATTTATAGTTTTGTTTTGTTTTTTTATACATTTCAATCTACCACACCAAGAAACAAACAAAAAAGAATCTATACAGTTAAAAGTTAATGTCTAGCAAAGAAGTAAAGAAATGACGTGGACCTGTGAGCAGGTAACAGGTGATAGGGACTGAACTAAGCACACCAGAATCTGAGCTCCAGGAAAACTTAACTGTCAATAACTACAGGTTTAATAAACAAAAGTTAACATCATCAAGAGTCACCAACAAGAATTTACAAGAGTAAAAAATCTGAATTCTAGTTTTGACACCAACTTTGTAACCTAGGAAGATAATTTACAGCTAGCACTGACTAGTTTTTAGTTTTATCTATAAAGCATTATCCTAGCATTCCCAAAGCAAAGGAGGCATGTTTCTTCATTATGGCTTTCTCTTTTTTCTTACCACAGTAAGACCAAAAATGGCTTTAACTCTTCTTCTGTCAATTGTTAATACACTTACATGCTTTTAGGTTTGGAAGATACACATAAAATTTCCAAATGATAAGTATTTTCCTATATTGCTAAAAGTTTTAACAAGTATTTTTCAAATCAATACACTATACTTAAACTGTATTAAATCTTATTTGTTGGGCTTTTAGTTAACTAATATCCTCTCATTTATAATTAGACAATGTTAATATTGCAAATTTGCGAACAAGCTCAACTAAGCTTCATTTACAGATCTTAACAACTACTAATGTCTTTGATCTTCTTTCAAGTTTGATCTTTTCAAGCTGATTTAAAAAAAAAAAAATCTTATGGTCAGGCATGGCACACATCTATAATCCTAGCAACTTGGGAAGCTAAGGCAGGAGGATCCCAAGTTTTAAGTCAGCATGAGCAATTTAGCAGGACCATGTTTAAAAACAAAAAACTAAAAAAGGTTAGAGGTGTTTGGCTATAGTGTACCCTTGGTTCAATTCCTGGTACCACCCAGTCTTGTTGCTGCTACTCACCTACAGGCTTTTAGCTAGAAAGGAGTCTTTTCTGGATTGGAAATGAGCCCAAACCTGAGTAGCAATACATTTCCTCCTAATAATCTCCCAATCTTCTTTCTTCTATAGAATTAATGTATTCATAAAAAATGCACAACACTGGATCCTTCTATTTTATAACGTGAATATAGATAATTTATAACCTGCAGCTTAAATCAATATTAGTCTTATGTGAAGCTACAGTTTAAGGCTCTTTCATTTGTCACTTTACCAGGCATAATAATAATTTCATTTATCTTCAGCCCTTGGATTGTCTCAGGATGTTGCAGGCGCAACTTTCATGGCAGCGGGTAGCTCAGCTCCTGAATTAGTTACTGCTTTCCTAGGTAAATATTGCTCCTAAGACTTTTTGCTAACTCAGCATTTTATTCCTTTTAAGTTAACACTAACGTACACAATCTTGTTCGTAGGTGTATTTATCACAAAGGGTGATATTGGCATTAGTACCATTCTTGGATCTGCAATTTATAATCTCCTTGGCATCTGTGCAGCCTGTGGCTTGCTATCTAATGTGGTATGTAAGAAAACTTTATTCAATAAAATTGTCTTGACAAGTTCTAAAACCAAGTTTATTGTATAGGATGAACAACAAGGCAATAGTAATGCATTCAATCAAATTTATTAATCAGTAGAAAAACATTTATTCAATTTAGTTAACCCACAAATAGCTCTTGCTCAAATTTATGAAAGTCAGTGTAGGTTTAGAAACAATTTTTCTTTAAAATTCCTTTCTCTCTAAGCAATATGCAAAAGGTAACAATATTTTACTACAAATAAACAAACAGCTTTAGTTTTATAAAACTAAGCATTATAATTGAATTACTTACACCATAATGGAAACAGTAAATCAAACTATCATTTTACAGGTTTCAACGCTATCATGTTGGCCCCTTTTCAGAGACTGTGCAGCATATGCAATTAGTGTAGCAGCAGTTTTTGGCATAATATTTGACAACCAAGTTTACTGGTAAGCTTGAAATAATTGTTACTCTTAAGTAAAACATAATTACAAAGAGAACTTCATGAAATCTGATGCTTCAGTAATATTTTTTTAGAAATGTCATGTCAGTCACTTCTCATTTATCTGCTACTTCTACACTATTTTCCAGTGAGTCTCTGGGCTAATTTCCTCATCACAACTGCTGATGGGTTCTCCTCACTATTTTGCAACTTCTTTTTGGTCACATCATAACCTCCCTGTTTCACTCACTAGTCACTGAAGACCACCACTCTTTGTTCTCCCATTGGCTGAAGACCACCACTCTTTGTTCTCCCATTGGCTGATGTTCATCAATCACCTCAAGTTTTGTTGTCTGAAAAAAGCCCCAACTTTTGGCTTTTTCTTCTACTAGGTTACTGCTTTAGTAAGAATTGGTAGTGGTCACAACAGATTGGAGGAAGATGATAGAGAAAGTAAAAATTTCTGTATTCCTTCAAATTTCTCTCCAATGTTCATTTAGCCTTCTTCCTTCAAGAACCAACAATGTTTAGGTGTCAATATTAAAAATTATTTGTTTCCCTATAATCTCTCTATGCCTAACTGGTACAAGAAAATGGGGGGAAAAGTGACTTACTGGACAGCTATAAACTTTTTCAAATAAGCACAGGCATCTACTGGGTATTTATTATTATCTAGGCATCATAAAAGAAATGTAAAACACATGGCCACACATGTACATAGTGTAACTCCCAGAAAGCACAAGAAAAAATACAAAACAAGGTTAATGGTACTCCTCTGGAGTACTCAATTTAGCAGCAGTACATGATATCTGCTATCAAGAAACTTAAAAATCTAATAGGGAAGAGAATTTCCAAGTTAATCATCCTGATATCTGTCACTCTCCCAAAGACAGCTAGTATAATAACATCCTCTGGAATTCAGCAGTTTTCTTCAAAGGAAAGGGACTGTGAAACTATCCAAGCTAAGGAATATTCCCTCTTTTAGGGATACCAGGAACTCTGTTCCTTCAGTGGTAGCAAAGAGATTCACTGTCTACGAAATAATAAAAAGTAAATGCAAGGTTCAAGTGTGATGGCATTAGTAATTACAGTTAAGCAGGAAACAGTACTTATTTTTAGAGACTATATTTTCTTGTGAGTATAAGCCAAATTCACCCCCTGCCCCCCCAAAATTTCTGCATAACAAATTGAAAAGCCCCAGCCAAAGTTCCTATGCCAGAAAATTTAATTTGGGACATTTCAAATAAATTAACAAATGTTATATTCTTTTACAGTTACTATATATTTGAGGGAAACATACTGTCAATGAACTGAGGTGGAAAATGCTCAGTATTCGTTAGTTTTATTCTAAAACTCTCCAGTGATAATTTTCAAGGCACTTTTTACGCCTAACATTTGGAAGGAATCTACAAATGTAGAAAATGGATTTATACTCCTTTTTAAATACAGAAAAGTATCAAGAATTTTATCCATGAATTTATAACATTCTAACCAAGTTTGGGAAAAATCTACAAAAATATATCTAGTATCTGTGATTATTCTTATACTGCTTTTGTTAGAAAATTATCAAAAGATACTGACCAAAAGTTATTAGCTCTAAAATGACTTCTTTTAATTTAAAAGCACAAATTTCTCCTCTTTAATTTATAGGTATGAAGGAACTTTACTACTTTTGATATATGGATTATATGTTTTGGTCCTGTGTTTCGACATTAAAATTAACCAATATATTATAAAGAAATGCAGTCGCTGTACTTGTCTTGCCAACGCTCTAGAAGAGAGAAGTGAACAACAGACACTGATGGAATGGGAAGATGAGGGCCAATTGTTCATTCATCGGCAATCAAGAACTGATAGTGGAATATTTCATGAAGATTCTGGTTATTCCCAGCTTTCTATAAGTTTACATGGTCTTAGTCAGGTTTCTGAAGGTAATAACTACATTCTGCTCACTAGTAAATCTTTCCACTAGAAAAATCTAAGAATTTCATTTTAATTTAGCAAGTATTATGTACTTGTTATATAAAAGACATTGGAGATTCAGAGAATATGAAAAGAAAGTCCCAGCCTTAGGGAGTTTCCATTATTAAATAACAATCTCTCCACCAAAAAAGCTATAACATGAAGGAATAAATACCACAAGGAGATAAAAAATAACCACGGTTCATAAATTGGACAGACTGTATAAAATTCAGTGAAGCTAGATAGGAAATTAACGCAAAGTATAAAAGCATTTAAACTGCTTGTTGGACAAGTAAGATTTTTTAACTCAATGACTTGATGTTATAACCAGAATTAATAACTACTAAAACCTTTATTACATAAGTGATATAGAGATAAGTAAAGTATATTCTATGAACTGAGGCCAAGAAAACAACATTAGTAAAAGGCCTGATTGAGTACTAACATAAATGGAGCCCAGTCAGTAAATGCACAGTAAGGAAGCAGAGGAAAGGTGAGTAGAAACGTATGGGGTAGGATGAAGAATGGAGTAGGACGAGTTTTACATGCTAGTGTAATCACTGTACCTTGGGAGGTTTGTGAGGTGGGAAATTATTAGAAATGTACTTTAGTAATATTATCCTGAAATAATATTCACAGAAAAACTGGTATCTGAGATATGAGACAGGGAGATCTTTGAGAGGTTATTATAACATCCTGACATGCTTAATAGATGCCTACATAGAGGACGATGAAGATGAAAGGTAATAAATGTGAGACAATGTAAAGGAATTTTAAGATTTAGCAACAAGGGCCAAAAAAAGGAACAAAGACAATTCCAAGATTTTTATCTTGACTGAGATCACTCTTTCAAAAAAAAAGGGCAATTCAGAAAAAAGGGCTGGTTTGGAAGAGGGGAAAAACCATTGAGGTTTAAATGTGTCATGTGAAGCACAGTTAGCAAAACATTAAGGTTGGAGGGAAAATACACACACACACACACACACACACACACACACACGTTTTGCTTACAGTTAAAATCAGCTATGGCCACAAATTCAAGATACTGTTTAAAAAGGGGTTGTACAAAACAGATTGTAATTTTAATTAAGTGATTAAAGGGCCTATTCTAACATTTAAAAAAATACAATGTGACTTCTTCCCCTTTTTACAAAAATTAGTTTCTAGTCTTCAAGGTACAAGAAATATACACCTCTAACTTAAAGTTTTATAACAAGAAACTCAAAAGAACAAGTCCAGATTCTTTTATTACATTGAAATTATATCTAATAATACCTAATGCCATATTGGTTGAAGCTTGGTAAACATTTTGAAGTTGTTTTACTAGCATTAGTTTTAATGCAGTTTGCCCCAATGAGTACATTATTTTGTAAATGCCATACAAATTTTAAACAATTCCAAAGTGAAATTCTCATTTTTATCCAATATATTGTTATCCTTACCCTCCACTAACTTAAAACAAACTGACAAAAAGAACATAGTCAAATGTTAAAAGTTACACTGTAGATTATTTACTAGCTCCTTCTCTCTCTCTCTCGCCCATATCTCTCTCTCTCTCTCTCTCTCTCTCTCTCTCTCTCTCTCTCTCTCTCTCTCTTCCCTTTCTAAGGTTCTTCCTAGGAACTGTGGTCAAGTCCAAATTTAATAAAATAAGTTACAAAATGGACCCAAAAACCAATTTAAAATAAGAATTAGAATATACAACTCAATAAGATTATGCTATAATTATTTTATACTCCCTAAGTAAGCATTATCATAAGGCAGGCCAGAAGCAAGATCAATATTAGAAAGAGAGGCAAATGAAATAGCAGGGATAGAAGCCAGTTAATCCCCCAAAAAATGTCCCTGAGGACAATCCTTAATATAGACAATCAAGAGATGTCCAATTCCCCCTTCATAAACATTGTTTCTGACATATTTAGCAAATGGTCCAGGAAATTTTGATGGATTTAAGGCCTTAAATCAAGAAATGCTGAGTATCACATCTTACACTGTCTGCCCTCAACTTTCAATTAGTTTCTTTTTGCCAGCAATATCAGTAATGAGGTATTCAAATGTTTTAAATAGCCTTTTAGAAACTGATACAGCTAATTTATTTCAATATTGCTTTCTAAATGGGCATTTCCAATGTAATTGGCCATTTGAGAAAACTCAAAATTGTTTAATTTTTCCACAACAGATCCACCAAGTGTTTTCAACATGCCTGAAGCAGACTTAAAAAGAATTTTTTGGGTATTATCCCTTCCTATTACTACATTACTTTTTCTAACAACACCAGACTGCAGAAGAAAGTTTTGGAAAAACTACTTTGTCATAACCTTTTTCATGTCTGCACTATGGATATCTGCATTTACATATATCCTGGTATGGATGGTCACAATAACTGGTATGTATCTTAAGTATAACAGCACAAGAAAATAATTTCATGTAAAAACAAATTACATAGGTTCACTTCAAGTAGTATAGGAAGCACACTTCTTTTTCAGCAAGACTAATATTAGTGCTATTTACAGAGAGATTAAATATTAATACAACAACAAGATCATTCAGGTTTTGTGAGTTCCAGCTTATGTATTAATTATATTCTTACTACTATATAGCTTGGGGTATAGTCCAAGAAATTATCTTATAAATGAAACCAAATTCACAAGATATCTATTATGCTAATAATTAAATCACATTACAAGGAATTCACAATAAAATATATTGAATTCTATTCCATAATGAAAAATAGAATAAAGAGCCACTGTTTTGAGAAAATGATGAGTGCTATTTAACTAGATTACATTTCATTTTGCTTTTAAAAATAAAGTGACAGAAAAGAGTATAAAATAAAGTTTCATTTTAGGTTTCTACTATTTCCATGGTTAAGATTTAACTATTACTGCTCAGAAATAATCTGCTCTAGTTCCCCAATAAAGAACTGAATATAAACAGACAAAATATTAGAAATTTCTCTTAAAAAAAAAAAAAGAAAGAAAGAAAAAAGAAAAGTTAACCTGAATTGACTGATAGGAAAGGTAAACAAACTATTGCCTGTTTGCCAAAATCACCCAGCCTATTTTTATTAGTAAAATTTTACTGAAAGCATTCAGGCCCATTCTTTACATGTCATCTATAACTGCTTTTACACTACACTGGTGGAAATGAATAACTGCAACAGAAAACATATAGCCTGATAGTTTCAATAATTACTATCTGGCTCTTCCACCCCCAAAATTTGCTGACCCTGACTTTTCCAAATTAATAGACTTCTTAAAATAGTATGTTAGGAAAAAGCAGAATATTTCTTTTTCTTTTTTTAATGAAGAAAATGAAAAAGTCCAAATATCTTACATATTAAATCTATCCAAATTTTCTCAGTCAGAACATATTTGATAATAGAAAAACAGGAAAAAAGCAAAACCAAGTAAGAGATCACAGAACAGCCCAAGATTATAAATAACAGTGTTATTTATGTACATCTGAACCCAAGCAACACTAATAACAAAAATTAACAACCAATTCCAATACCAAGAAAATGAACATGCAAGAAATAGACTACTTTATAATTAAGTTATTTTAACTAGCATTATTGGGGGGGGAGGAAATACAGAAAAAATATTCTAAACTGTGTTTTCAGTTGGTTACATGTCCCTTTCTGTTTTTCATTTTAACTACCCTTTGGTTCTGTTACCCAGAACGAGCACATTCCTGAAAAAATGTTAAGCTGACATCAAATATAATGAAATTATTAATGAGTTGGGACTATATGTTAGACTCAAAAACAAAAAGTTTTTGTTTTCTTCTAAGATTGTTGGACTTTCCAAAAGAAAACACCAAATTAAGGTATATGTTTAAAGTAGGACTTTTAAAATACATACATGTTTACTCATTTGTAGCTCAAATTGAGAGTTGGCTTAACTCACTATGTTAAGAAAATATTTTTTAAAAAAAGAAAATGATCAGTCTCATTAGCATATATTAAGTAAACAACAACCCCAATAACAGTGAGCATCTACAACTTCTATAAAAATACCAAATGGGGAACGAACATTTCTCATTGGTAAAATTGCGGCTGCTAAATATCTTTACAAATGTCATTAAAAATCTGTACTACCTGGGTTACCCAAATTACCAACCCAATTCAAATATTTTGCTAGCTAAAAACTAAGTAATTACACATTGATTCAGAAATCTAAACATGCCTATTTTGTTTCTGAACAAAGAGGAAATATCTGAAATATCTAAGAGAGTGGTTAGTTCATCTGTAAGATTTATAACTTATAATATCTATGGTGTCTTACAGGGGAAACACTAGAAATTCCAGACACAGTAATGGGCCTTACTCTATTAGCAGCAGGAACAAGCATACCAGATACAGTTGCAAGTGTGCTGGTTGCAAGAAAAGGTAAGACCTGGAAACTGCAGTGCCCTTTCTTTAAGCTTAGCTAAATACACTTGAGTCAAGGTAATGTGAAAAATATTTATTTCTTCAGTAACATACTTTTGAAGAAAAAAAAAATTGACTCAAGGGACAAGTTTATTATATCACAGCAAATTAATTTCATTCAATCTAATTCCCCAAATGACTTAACTGAATTGTGCATTAAATGGTAATTAACTAAATTAAAATGAAAAGCAACGAGTAAGCTACATATCTTATTGAAAATGGTTTAATAAATAAAGATAATCATTATTAAATAAATGTTAAACTTAAATACTAACCCAAGAAAAATTTAAAAATACAAATTCAATAAGACTTGCTCTAACAATTTTCCAAAACTACCAACAACAAAAAAGTATCCAGTGTTTTTTTCTTATGAAGATTATTAATAAAACAGTATTATATGCACATTTTAACAACATGCTTTTCTTTTGCAGGTAAAGGAGACATGGCTATGTCTAACATTGTAGGATCCAATGTGTTTGATATGCTATGCCTAGGTGTTCCCTGGCTTATTAAAACTGCTTTTATAAGTGAGTCAGCTCCTGTTGAAGTAAACAGCAAAGGACTCACTTACATAACCATTTCTCTTAACATTTCCATTATTTTTCTTTTTTTAGCAGTTCACTTTAATGGTTGGAAATTAGACAGAAGGTTGGGAGCTGTCTGCCTGTTATTATACATTGGGCTTGCTTCATTATCAGTTCTATATGAACTTGGAATTATTGGAAATAATAAAATAAGGGGCTGTGGAGATTGATTATTCTTAATAGTGTTAATGTGGAAAATGTGAATGGTGGGGGTGGTAGAGAAGGAAAAACCCATTTCTTCATTTAAGTCAAATAAAAACATCCTAAATTTCAGAATCTAAAACTTACTTAATAGTAATTCTTTATCACCACAGAAAAGCAATTTAAAACCAACCAAAATCACATCCTAATTTGTCTGAGCCCTTTCTTTTCATGAACAAATACATATTATAAAACACAAGTTATGAAAAAACCATTTATCATTTACCTTACAATAAGTTGATAAAGGCTGGGGAAACTAGAACAAACACTACTATGTCATACTGAAAACAACAAGAAAATGGCTTATTTCATTAAAAACAGTATAACCATTCATTTAAACTGAATGACCAGACTTGCTGTCTTTAGGAAACCCAAACTTGAGATTAACAAAAATCACAGTATATTTTTAACATTATACTGTTAAAAGCTGGTGGGAATTTTAAAAGTTCATTTTTACAGCTTTTGTAAGCATACAGTATTACTAAAAAAATTACTTTTACTAGTAGAGTCAGCAAAACAGATGAAGGAATGTTCCAACCGTGGTTTGAAATTATGCATTACGATCCAAGCGAACATCAATTTCTCTACCACTGATTTTTATGCCATTCATTATTCTGCAGGCTTTTTCAGCTGATTCTGGGGAGTCAAATCTGACCGTTCCACAACCTTTTGACTTTCCATTCTCCATTTTTATTTCTGCAAACATTACATGACCTGTAAAAGAAAAGTTACAGAATTACTAGTCAGTTTAAATGGGTTCCATTTTACTATACATATTTGAAATTCCTAATAGCCAATGAAGTAATGAGTAACGTGGCTTAAAACATTAATGTTATAAAAACAATAAAACATGAGATTATTTTGTATTATGAATACAATTCATAAAGAAATTATCATAATATTTTATATTATGAATACAATTCATATAGAGTAATGAACATATGTATACTAATGTACATATATATTAATATATATAAAGTTGGAATTGAGATAAATTTCCTTAGGACTTAATATGTTTTATTTGTATTAAATTCCTAGCTTCTAGTATTAATTTTATAGTAATAAAGACTAGTTAGCTTGAAATATTAACTCACCATGACCCCAAACATATATTTAATCAAAATTATCTTTAGAATAGAGTTTCTCACTGTCCAGTATCCCTAATCATCCTTCTCTTTATCTTCACTTTGCTTCTTCATCTCTTGGAAATAAGAGTGAATGCTGAAAATCTAATTTCTATCAGGCCACAAAAAGCCCCACCAAATCTGTTCTTTTACAGCAATACCAAAGCCATCTATTCACTAACACAGTTTGGACTCAAAAATCTTAAGTATGGCATCATATGTGTTATGGAAGCAGTTATGAAAGAGAACACTGATTCAAATTAACAAAGGTAAAAACAATGATGTTAATAACACAAAGAAGAAAGAACCTCAGAGCAGTTTCTCAAAATATAAGAAAAATCAGACATTTCACAATTGTTCCTTACACAGTTAATATGACTGCTAATTCTAAAAAGTGACATTTGAGTACAATATTAGAGTTGTAGCTCAGCATTAGAGTGCTTCCCTAGCACCCGTGGGGCAGTGGGTGATCATTAGTACCATATAAAGACAAAAACATAAAGGTGCTGTGTCCATCTACAACTGAAAATATTTTTTTAAGTGGCATTTGAAATAAATTCATATCCTTTATCCAAATACAAAGCAAACATGAAATCTGTAATTGAAACCAGAATACTGAATTATTAATAACTATACATAAATAAAAAATGTAAAGTAAGACTATATTGAGGCAAACTTGGGAGTCATGATGACCCAATCCAAACAGGTCTTAAATTTAGGATGTGACTACAATAATATTTCCCTCCTCTCAAGATGCATATGTCAAAACAAATCAAACTAGGGGACTTCAAATATTATACCTGGTAGGTCAGAATGAGTTAATTTTAATCTGGCAAAAAAACATACAGCCAGATAAATTTAGCTCTAAAAAGGGGCAAAAATTAAAGAAGAGTAAAGGGTTTTTTTTGTTTTTGTTTTTTAAAAAAAGGCCTGTCAAACACTTGCATGATCCCTTTTTAGATGAGAGAATCAATTTTTAATCTTAATACATGGTTAAGACTATTTTCTTGTTGAAATCTTGATCTGAATTATCTCCTATCTGTAGCATCCTGAATTACTTTTTTACTTTTGTTGTTGTTTTTTTTATCTACCCCATATTATTGCATTTCCTTTTAAAACCACTGGTTGTCAGTTGCTCATCTTCTTGGCACTAATTAAATGGTCTATGATGATAGATATGTAACAAATGATAATTGTTACACCAAGCTAAAACCATAACACAGGTCAGATAATTCTTAATGTGCCCTCAAAGTTTTGATAAAACAAAACTACTATCTAGAGAAATCATGTTTTAATGGTTAAAGTAGGTCCAAATAATATTTACTGTACAACTGATAACATGAAAAAAAATTTCTTACAACAGTTACTAATAGAGCATTATGTAAATTGTGGATGTGTAACCGACGTGATTCTGCAATCTGCATTTGGGGTAAAAATTGGGAGTTCATAACCCACTTCAATCTAATGTATAAAATATGATATGTCAAGAGCTTTGTAATGTTGTGAACAACCAATTAAAAAAAATGATTGTAAAAAAAAATAGTAACCACACTTTCTAGTAAACACAAAATTAAACTAGGAGATAAATGTAATAGATATATGTATACATCTACATATATATATACACTCACACATAAATTGAAATAAACATATATCTACATATATATGAAATATAGATCTCTTTAAGATGTAGTACTATTTCCACAGTCCTTATGACACCTTGAAAGCTGGTAATTGAAAAAAAGCAAGTCTAATTACAGAAGCACACCTTGGTAAATGGCAGTATTTTATAGTGATTTTGAAATGGATTGTAGAGAATTTAAGGGCTTTAAGATTAAAGGTTCTTCTTTATTCTAATTTTATCTAAAAATTAAGGGTTTTTCTAAGAACTTCACACAAATTTTTAAGCAATAGTAGGGTTCAATCAAGGAAGAAATCTTAAAAACTTCAAAGGAAAATGAGTAGTATTTTTTGCATAATCTGTCTCTCCATCTCCAGGACAAGACTCTTTTTAAACAATTCTCTTAAACTATGTCCCTCAAGTTTAGGAACCACACAATGACCTCATAATGATCTTCAGCCTTTCTAGATGACAAGACCCCTCAGCTAAGATACCTGAAATTTTTTACAGTTTGGATATTAAAGCTATATAGCATGACCTACAGATACTTGTGTCACAGTTTAGAATACCCCCAAAAAATCCCAGTAAGATAGAAGCAGAAATGTTAAGTTTTCCAAGTTTCTTTCTACTGTTATAAAAATGCTAATTGAGGTATTTTCCAAAGTTAATTAATTCAAAAGAAAAAATTAATTTCAAATAATCAATTGAAATCAGTCCTAACTTTTTAAATGCTCTAAGGACTCAACAAAAATAAAACTGATACTTTTAATAAGAGTGTAGGACAAAATAGTATGCCTAGAGAAATCAATAACACGATTAAACTCATTGCTGTTATATACAGTAGTTCTAGATATTATTTATCTTACATTAAAAGAAACTTCTACTTTATTTAACCCAATCTATTAACGTCAGTATACTTTCAGAATTCCTGATAAGAGCATATCTAAATATAGATCAAATTAAAGCAGCTATAAATGAGCAAATAGTTCAACAAAATCTGAATAAATAAAGCTATAACATAACCACAGGAGAAAACAACAAAATCAGATATTCTTCTGTAAGAAAGCATAATTACGATATAAGGGACCAAAAAAAAAAAAGAATTGGGTGTTTCTTCACAACAAAAAAAAGTGCTTCCACCAATGAATTTTCTTTACTTATTATTATTTTTACTATTATTGGATTGTTATTACTATTATTTTACAAAATCCACTAATCATTCTGAAAAAAGTAAATGTTGTAGTCAATAAAACCTACCACAAGTCACCATTCTATGCAGTTAACCAGCACACTAATAGTAGAAATGTTACACAATGAAAATCTATAAAACAAAGTTATATTTGTTTACATGGTTTCTAGAAAGAAAAATTGAGAATGAGCCTTCCCTGTATTGCAAGTCTAAAATTTTAAGAGTACTGCATCATACTGAGCCAAAGAAGCATATAAACAACAAAGGAGCAAGTTTGAAAAACTACCTATTTGACCTCATTAACTGAACAAGAACTGAACAATGTGCACAAACCAAACTAATGTGAGGTCCAACTCTAAATATACTCCACTTTCTTATGCATTTCCTTAAATGCATGTTACATAAGGCAGGATAAAAAGAGATTTTACTACAAAATAATGTGTGTCTTACTAGCCTGTGCTCAAAAACATCACCTTTTAGGGGCTTACTGGAATTAGGAGGAAGAACTGGGAAACAGCCATTATACTTATTTATTTCTCCTCTTGTTAAATATAAGATCTGAAAACTTTTCCTGAATTATAAAAGCTGAGAAAATTATATATTGAGGGTAATACAACCCATAATATAATATTTCCTCAGCCTTTATAATTGCTCCATCAAAGAGAATTAACTACTAGAGACATTTTAATAGCAGAGGGGCTTGCCAGTAGATTCATTTACTGGAAGATATTCTTTGGGAGAGATGCATAGAATACCACTAACCTGTTTTTCAGAAGCAAGCAAAAGTATAAACTTATTCACCCAAAACTCAAGAAAACAACAACAACAAATAATCTGCCTTTTAATGTCAAAAAGGCCATTATTGGCTTGAGGCAAGTTAAAAGAAACTTCTCATATAAAAGAAGAAAAAGAGAAAGAACAAAAAAAAAAAGGATGGTTCAATTCAAACAAGATGGGTAATATCTATATTTGTCAGTATCTGTATATTTGTTTCCACATAATCATAACTTATTTTCTTTGCTATCAATACAATTTAAGGTTAAAAATAGAGGAGATGATAGGAAATTTATAAGTATAGTATCAGCTTACTATAAAATAGAAATGTCAGAAGCTTTTACAAAAGAATTGAAAATGTAAAAATCATTAGTCTTACATACAGACTAATCAAAAAAGGGATGTAAGAATAGAGTTAAGGGCTGAAGCTATAGCTTAGTGGCAGAGTTGCTTGTCAAGCATGTGTGAGGCCCTGGGTTTGAACCTTACCACTGTATAAAAAAAATAAACAAAATAAAGGCATGCTGTCCATCTACAATTAAAACAAACAAACAAAAAATAACAGAGTTTTAAAAAATGATATAAAAAATAATCATTTATAACCACTATTCTATATAAACAAAATTCTGTACAAAAATTTTTTAATGTAGATTTGGATAGTTTGTCCTTTCAGGAAATGTCTTTCAATTGCTGACCTCATGTCAAAACAATGCCACTCCATCACAAAATCTGCTTTATCTATTATTGACTTAATAAGTTTTCTGAAATAATAATTAAGGTATTACTAATACCCTTGATCTATTAATGTGGTATAATAGAATAACAAAACAATTTGCAATACTGCACAGAAAATTAGTCTCATTCTTGATAAAAGGATTATGTACAGGCTGGGGATGTGGCTCAAGCGGTAATGCGCTCGCCTGGCATGCACGGGGCCCTCGTTTCGATCCTCAGCACCACATAAAAATAAAATAAAGATGTTGTGTCCACTGAAAACTGAAAAATAATATTAAAAATTTCTCTCTCTCTCCTCTCTCTTTAAAAAAAAAAAAGATTATGTAGATCAATTTTTCCCATCCTTGTTTCTTCCTCTGTACTGTGCCACCTACAGTAATATGATTTTGCTTTTTCTAAATCCAAATCAGGCAACCTTAGGTTCAAGGATAGGAAGTGTCATAGGTCAAATCCTTGCCAACCCTTTCAATTATTTTCCAAAAGGTTTACCATTATAGAAATTTATTCTGACACAAACATCATATATACATAAATATTTAATTGAATGTATTTGAGCAAAAGCAAACATCTTTAACATATATTATGACCTTTGGTCACAGGAAGAAAAAAAAATGCCACTCCAACCAGAAGCCCACCAAAAGCCCTAAAGTTTTCTGGAAGCCTAGCCTTGCTTATACCTGACATCAAAAGAACATGTGTTACCTTATATATAATCAGAGATATGATAAATTATGGTATAATGGTGTATTAAGAATTGTAATGCAAAAATAAAAATAAATTTTAAAAAATTAAAACAAAAGAACATGTGTCTATAAAGGATAAAGAACAGTCACCTCAATACTGCTCACATTTTCACTGTCATTTCTTTGCCTGGCTTTGCTCTTTATCTTATTACTCATGTCTATGTTTAAGATGTCTTATTTGGAGTTTTTTTGTTTTGTTTTGCTTTTCCTGAAAATACAAGAACAGAGATTACCTATACCTGCTGCCATTGCTCCTCATAACACTAAGGCCCTAATATGTTCATGTCACTGTGGTCTATAGGATTCATGGCCACATGCTACTTACTTATTCTGATAGATGTACTTACTCCTAAAAACTATGAACACCTTGAAAGAACTTTAGTATTTTGCTTTCTCTTGGCTGTATTTACTAGTTGATTTGTTCTTAACAACTTTTTTATGAAAATAAATATTAAGTTTCCCATCCATAAATTTTAAATTAGTCCAAAATAAAAGGACAACTAACAAAGGGAGCCAACCGAACATCCTAAACAATTCACACTGTATGTTCTGAGGACTGGGGTATCTGACTTTGTTCACCTTCAAAGTGCCTAGCAGACTGCCAAAAATATAATATTTTCAGGCTTAAAGAGTGAATGAATAAATAATTAATAAGTGAAAGATCTTCTCAGAATTCTTTTCTTATAAAACATTTCATAAACTCTTAATATATGTACAGAGGCAATGAAAGGTGCTAGGATAAAAAGATGACAGTTCTTGCCCTTAAGATCTCCATCTACAATGGAAAAAAAAGTGAACAAACAATAAAAGCTGTAAAAAAGTTAGATCAAGAATCCAGTAGATACTATTATCTCTGAAAGTAGCTCACAAAGGCTATTTTTATGGAAGAACACTAAACTTGTCCCTTTGTGGCCTTAAAAAAATTAAAGATATACTTCAAATATTTAGCCCTTTTCATCATTATTTGCTACCTATATATCTTACTATTAGGACTATATATTCTGGGATTCCATGTAACATCAGGAAATCTATTTCTTTTGCCAACTGCACTAATTCGTTCATCATAATTTACAAAAAATGATAATTTTATCAATTAAGATTTGATGGCAAAAATAAGTATGGTATATAAAAGGCTCTCTTTTAAAAGTAATAAGCCATCTAATCTTCTACAGGCTTAAGGAATACATTAAGGTTGGATAGGTAGTGTCATTATAGCCAAGAATGATTTACAAAAGAGCCACCAGAACATATGGTATTTACAGCATTACTAGCAGTGGATTCAATACTACCAGCTAAGTGTCTTGTGTCTTGTAGAAATAGTGTGTACAGAATGGCTCTCACATATCTCTACATATCAACTGGATATCAGCATCTGAGTGGGTCATTCTGACTCTACTCTTAAAGAAGGAAATTAATACACTGCTTATTAATATATTTCATGAGGAAAAAACTTTTAATGTAATCAATGATACATTTTCAACATTTTTAAAAATTTTTTTTAGTTGTAGATGGATACACTCCCTTTATTTATTTATTTTTAGGTGTGCTGAGGATTAAACTCGGTGCCTAACACATGAGAGGCAAGCACTCTACCACTGAGCTAAAACCCCCAACCCCTATATTCAACTTTTTAAAATTGGGTAACTAAAAAAAAAAAGAAGAAGAAGAAGAAAAAAAGATTTACTGACAGGATAACAGGCTATTCTCTAAACTTCAGTATTTACCAGTCTAATTTTTACTTGTTTAAGTCAGAAGAAAGGAAAATAATTCATTTATTTGAAATCAAGTTAGACCTGGCACACTATCCATACTATTCAGGAATAGATACTAGCTATCCATACTATTCAGGAATAGATACTAACTATCCATACTATTCAGGAATAGATACTAGGTCAAGTAAAGGACTTAATACAATGTTCAAAAGTTTCAAAACAATTTTTTCCTTCACAATAAATATCAACATATCTACATCATTAGCATACTTACCACACTGACTGAATTTCTCTTTGAGTTTCTGCCAAGTCAAGTCAAAAGGCAGCTAAAATGAAAAGAGGTATTAGTAACACATATACAGGGGAAAAAAGAATTTTAAGTATCCTTTACATTTATTTGCTTACATTTCTGACAAATATCTGGTTGCCTTTGGAGCCTATTCTGTCTCTCATTCCGCTTCCCATTGGCCCCGATAAAAATCCTCGATCCATATCGATGCTCCTTTCCAGTATAGCTCCTATACCTGGTCCCATTCTATCAAAGCTGGAACTCATGCGGTCTAGTCCCATCCCCATTCCTCCAGTCACACTGTTCATGCCACCCATTCCACCACCTGGATTTTCAAGAAGGGCAGGGAGGATTTAAGAGTTTTGTGTTTTTGTTTCAAAAACAAAAGCAGGAGGAGAAAGGAAGGGAAAAGGAGAGAATCATTTATGAGTAAAAAGGGAAGAAAAAAATTCATTTACATAATTAGATAATATACAAACAAAATTATTTTCATACAGACAATATAACAATTTTCAAAGAAATAGAATTTAACTTGGTATATATATCTGGTTAGTTGAGAAATCTTAATTCTAACTACCATATAAATACATTTACATATATCTCTATAAAATTATATTCTGATCATAAAAGTATCATGTAAATATTCTATTGCTTTATTAGATATTATTCTTACTCCTTATTTTTACTTTCCAATCATACTAATAACAACTTAGAACAAAGATTTAAGTAGATAAGTTCAATTATTATAATTCCAGCATATGTCTTATCATACTCTCCTACATAATTTTAACTTTTTCATCTCAGTATCTTCACCTGTTTCCCATATAATCATTCTTTTAATATCAATTCAAATTTCAATACAGAAAAACTTTCAATTTCACTATTATACAAAACGTGGTGAGAACAAGAAATGGCATTGTTTCCTTTTAACCAAAGCTTGAGAATTTAGCTCCCGGTTCATTCCTTCTTCATTTTTAAGCATTGACTTTATTCACTGAATATTCTACTCATATTCATTCTTAAAACTTATCTTTTCTTTCTTGTATCTAACACATGAAAGATGTAAAAATATCACCCTTCAAATTGACTACTTTTTTCAGTTAGTAGCAAGTATAAAAATTAGGGAAACAGAAGTAAAAGACTGAGATAAAAGAAGAAGGTAAAGATGTTACAATTAACAGAAAAAGGGCCAAAGCTACAAAAATGATGAAAAAAATAAATAAAATGAGAAGAAAGTACAATGAATTAAATGTGTTTAGCTAACAGGTCTTTAGAATTCTCTCAGAATAGGTCTAGTAAATTGTATTTTCTGCTTGTGAAATTTAATCAATTAAAGAAAGTCAATAAAGTAGGGAAGGTTCAGGCAGCAATACAGTTAAAAAACTAAGCCTTTGCTGGGTGCAGTGGTACATGCCTATAATTCCAGCACTCAGGACATTGAGGTAGGAGGATCCCAATATGGAGGTTAGCCTGGACAACTAGGTGAAACCCCATCTCAAACAATAAAGGTTGAGGTGTGTGTCTGTGGTAGATCAATTACCTAGCAATCACAAGGCCCTGGGGTTGGTCCCTAGCACCTTAAAAAAAAAAAAAAAAAAAAAAAAAAGTGCATGCTTTGACAGCACATAAACTAAAATTGGAACAAAACAATTTGTACGGTCCCTATGCAAAAATGACATAAAAATGTGTGAAGCATTCCATATAAAAATAAATAAATAAAAAAAAACAACAAAAACTAAGCCACGTGCCATGTGTTAAGGCTTACTATAAGGCCTAAAATATGGTAGTTTAAACAGATGGGAGACATTCAGCATTCTCCAGTATTGCTAGAATTCTTGATTCTATCATGGGAAAAGGTTTAAGAAAAGAAGAAATAATAACTCCTTAAACCTTATCCCTCAACCCCAGGAGGTCTCTAAAAGTATTATGTCTGCATCTACCAAAACACACAAGATGTTTATAGATAAAATAAGGTAGTCACTAATAGCTGCTACAGAAAATAAAATGCAAATAAGGTTGTCACTAAACCAAAAGCTGCTCCTGATACACAGTCAGAGAAAAACTCATATTCCTTAGGTGTAAAGATGATTCTTGGACTGGCTTATAGTTAATTTGGAGACATCAAAGAAGTAAAATTTAAACAGTTAATTTACAAATTTCAAACAGTGATCAGAGAGGCTTATTATTAGCTCATTAATTATTAACGTTTCTCAAATTACAAGAAGCATATAAACATAAGAACAAAGTATTACTATACTATAATCACAACTCTTTGTAAGCACTCAAGTAAAATTTAAACCTACTTATTCCAGATCCTACTGGACCCATGTTAGAAGCTCCTATTCTTCCTGCAAACCCTCCAATCATTGCACTGCCTAAACAAGGATGGAAAGATAATATACTAATTAATTTAAATAATCATATTTTAAAATTCATAAGGTACTAAGCTCTCAGAAAACACACAATAACTGAAAAGTATAAAAAAGTATTTCAGAAATAGATTCTAAATATGTAAGATACTGAAAAGAGATCTAGTACATTAAAATCCCTAGAGTGTTTTCTTCAGGCAATAAATTATATGGAACATTATAAACTTCTGATTTTTCACAAAAAATGAAGAGAACCCCCATTTCTTAAAATATAACCTGAAAAAAGGAAAAGGAAGTATTCAGCCAGCCCTACCAAGTCTACCAAAGGAATCTCCAAAGCCTCGATTTATTCCAATATCACCACGTCCAAAATCTCGCTCCATGCTACTAGTCATTGCGCCACGGTATAGCTCTGAAAAGATTGTGCAACAAATTAACTCTTTTTCAAGAACATCAATGCATGGCAAACCATTCAGGAACATATCTAAACTAAACTGAAAAAAGCAAAAGTCATAAATACAAAATAGTCTATGATTTACCCAACTTACCTCACACACCACACATACAATCCCCATTCCTGCCATGCCTGTCCTTATCCCCTAGTGCCCATATGCCTTCTGAAGACATCTATAGCACCCATTCCTAAGTGAAGAAGGGAGGGGGGGGATTTCAATAATAAGTAAAAGTAAAATAGTATACACATCCTTCTATATATATTTACCTACCTCCCATTCGGCCAACTCCACCAAATCCTCCCATGCTATTCATTGCTTCCAGACCACCAAACCCAATTCCTATGAAATAAAGATTAATTCTAAAATTTGACTGTCAGTTATATAGCTGAAAGGTACAGTTTATAAATGTCAAGTCTCACCTATAAGCTCTTTATCCACCCTACTTTGTATAGCTACTTCATTTAGTTACTTCATTTAATAGATTGCCTTCTCTTAAGTATACACCTGACTCAATTTCTTCTCGCATCCTTTAGGATATGAGCCAAAAATAAATTGTGACTTTTCTTCTTAGAATTCTCAACAAAGTTTCTAGTTTCTAAAAAGTGGTGATGGGAACATGCAAAAAACAAATACTTATACATACCTCCTCCAATTCTATTCATTCCTCCAAAACCTGGACCATCCATTCCCATACCTCAAATAAAATACACAGTATGTACTTTCAGTGGATCTTATTTCTATGACTAAGAGTGACAAAATGTATTATATAGCAAAACAGATATCACTAGTCTAGTCACAATGGAACTCTAGGGAAGGAGCCTGATACAAAGAGATGGAAAGTGCTATGCCAGAGTAGATATCTAATCACAGGTCTCCCAAAAGGCCTCTTTGAACAATAGACAAGAAACCAAAATTCAGTGATCACACCTACAATATGCAGTTTATTCATAAATGAGCAATCATTTACTTTTTCATAACACAGAAATATTACCATAGCTTTAGAGATCAGGTGAGGAAGTAAGGACTCCTCTAAAGAAAATAGTTAATAGAGTAAAAAAATTAAAGAATACAAATAGTGTGTATTTAAGAAGGTGAGGGTATGATAGTCTAAGGGTAAAGGAGAAAATCTGGATCAGAATGATTATTATACCTACCCTTATAATTTAAAGTGTAATTTTATCATGTCATCAAAAGTAGGAATTTAACAGCAATTGTATGTCCATCAAATAAAAAAGTAATACTGTTAAGTATGATATGGGGACCTCCAAGGGTCCAACAGGTCAAAACCACTTCAGTCATCAAATACTGACATCATTTGATTAATTTTACTCTCATTCTCTCATGTGCATAAGATAGGTGTAAATATCTAGAGACTAGATGATATATATCAGCAAACAATGCAGAAGTAGATATAATAGCATGGCTGTCTTATACTAAGCTAAACATGCACAACAAAAATACCACTTTTCTCGCTTTTTTTTTTTTACTGGAAATAGTTTGTTAAATATGTGCTATATTATATTTTTGTATGTATTATATATAGTAAATGTAATCTTTAAGGTTAAGTTTACAGTCAGGGTTAATTATTGCTATTTTAAACAAATATGTAAATTTTTATAATTTCTAGGTTTTATAGTAAATATTGAGAAACATAACCACATAAACAAAATCACCTGGGGGGTTTTGACAAATTTTAAAAGCATAAAAGGGTCTGATACCAAAAAATTTGAAGACCAATCTTTAAAAACAAACATAAGTTAGCCCAAATAAAGCAATCAAAGAGCTACTGAAAAGGTGACCTTCCTAACTAAATAAACAAATTTAAACTGCACTTGCAAAAAAAAAGGATACCCAGATACCCAGAATACACATAGCACTATGTTGAGAACTCTCCTTCTGCCTTCAACATATTTCAATATCCATAGTGCTAAAAAGCTAGTTATAACATGACTAGTCCCAGAGAAGCACTCCTGAACTTTGCCTACCCTCTTGCACGTTAACTGCTCTCAAGGTCTCATTTCTTTTTCACACTGAAATGACATCCTAAATAGCTCTAGAGGAGTCCTATAAACATTATGACAAACCAGTAAATGTAAGCTATAATATAGCAAATGTATCATTTAAAAAGAAATAAAGAATACTCACCACTTGGACCTAAATTTCCCATTACACCACCTATGTTCAATTGGCTAGCACTAATAGGCTGTCCACCTGGACCAAGTCCCATTCCAATACCTCCAAGACCACCTAAAACACAAATAAGAATATTACATGTAAGCCAGGTAGAGTAGTGCACTCCTATAGTCTCAGCAGCACAGGAGGATCAGTAGTTCAAAGCTAGCCTCAGCAAAAACAAGGTATTAAACAACTCAGTGAGACCCTGTCTCTAAATAAAATACAAAATAGGGCTGGGGATGTGGCTCAGTGGTTAAGTGCCCCTGAGTTCAACCCCTGGTACCCTACCCCCACCAAAAGAAAAGAATATTACATACATATGTATGTGTGTGTGTGTGCCTGTATAAATATACATATATACACACATATGTACACACATACACACACAAAATTCAAAAACAGCTGTACACCTATAGTAGTATTTCTAAAATTTTGCAAATTTGTAAATAAGAGCTCTGGTTCTGTTTCATTTAGAAAAGCGCATACTGAAGCCTTGACTACTATATCATTCATTCATTCATTCATTCATTCATTTTCTGTGCTGCTGGGGATTGAACTCAGGGCCTTGATTCATGTGAGGCAAGCACTCTACCAACTGAGCTATATCCCCAGCCATTTATCATTTATTAATGAGAAATATTTTATGAACATAGGAATAACAAAATGCCATAAGAATTTTTTAATAATATCACTTTATAAATGGCATACTGAAAATGAGCATCTTGTCCAAATTTGTATAAGTACTTAAAAATCTTAGCAATAAAAAAAGTAAAATACCATGAAAGCAAAATATTGAATAAAGCAAATATTACCTGGTTTTATCTTCAACATAAATATTTATTTACGTGCACATGGTATTTAAAGTGTTTTTACATCTATTATCCACAGACTAGCAATTTTTTAAAATTTTAAGTTACTTATCATTTTCATTTAGCAATATGATTAAGCTAAGACTAGAATTAAAGTCTTCTTTCTTTAAATCCAGGATTTTTTCTACTACATCTCTTAAAATAATTGAAAATTCACTTTATGAAGTATAATTTGATGACCTTATAAACAACAATACTAATAACATTTGGATGGGGATTGCTTTATTCCACTAAATCTTGATATGGTTTTAAAACATTCTTGCTAAGTCAAAAGTAGCAATTACTAAGCCTTGGGGTCTGAGAAAACCATATGCTCTATTTAATTTTTTAAAATTAGAGTACAGAAGCATATCATATTAAATTGTAAAGATCAAAATGGGGAAAATTATTCTTTTCCCATTCAATCCCTAAAAAATGGTCTACCTGAAATCAACAGCACATCTCACCCTCATCAATGCCTATCCACACACCATCTTTTCATCTCTAATGTCATTCTTCACTAAAAGGAACCAGGACTTCTTAAAGATAGCCCTGTCCCATTTCTTTGGAATAAGAAAAATCAGAATGAATCTGGGAAACTGTTTTATCAAAAAGTAAAGACTACCAGAGGCTGGGGTTATGGCTCAGTGGTAGCACGCTTGCCTAGCATGCATGAGGCACCGAGTTCAATTTTCAGCACCATACACAAAATTTTTTTTTTTAAAAAAAGGTCCATCAACAACTAAAAAATATTTAAAAAAATAATAATAAGACTATCTGAGGCACGGGAAATGAGGAGGATGCCACATGCCAAGTTACAGTAATTTGAACAAAGAAAGAGTAGAAGAGAGGAAGGTAGAGACAAAACAAACCTGGAATGTACCCTCCCTCATAATAATTAGCTTAATGAAAAGAAAGGGATTCTGTCAATATCTGAGTTCACATTATATTAATAAAAAACAGTATATAAAAATTTAAGTCCCTAAAAGAATAGATTTAATATTAAAGTATGAACACAATAGGACATTTTTGATCTAAACAAATAGAAGAATACCAAAAATGGAGAAGTGAATTGGAAGCCCTTACACAAAACAAGGATCTTAAAAGATGACACCTGACTGACTAGGTAAACTTGGGGGAAGGACTGCCCTATAAAGGGTTAAAGAAAGGGTAATAATTCAAAAGACACGTGGCTGAGAATTGTCCAGAATTTACTTTTTAAAAACTTAATGCTGTGATTGGGAAAGCCCAACAAATCCTAATCCAGACCCACAATGTCGTAAAACTGCCAACTGAAAACCAAGATCTTAAAAATCATCTCCATAAAGAGCATACATCACCCAAAAAGAAAAGATAATTCAACAGATAGCTAACTTAAGAGTAGCAATGGAAACAAGACTGGAAAATTTTTTAAAGTGCTAAGGGAAAATAACTATCAATCTTCAACTATCTTGGAAGACATTTACAGGCAAATCAAAATTGAGAGGACTTAGTAACAACTGATCCTCTCTGAAAGAACTTGTAAAATATACACTTCAAAGGGAAAAAGGGTCTGTGAAAACAGAGCAATGAGGAGACAAGAAAATAGGGGGGAAAATGTCTAATTTGTTGGATTAAGGGGAAAAAAAAGAAATATAATGAAAATACTGAGCAACAATAGCATATAATTCAATAGCAAAATGATTACAAGTAAAGTATAAAGTATTCTAAGGTTATTCCACAACTTAGAGAATAGTTAAACTAATTTCAGCTTTATATAGATAACATTAAAATATCTAGAATAACCACTTTAAAAAAATAGGAGAAAAATTACTTATTTGTAAAACAGAACACAAAATAAGATAATGAAAATTAATCCAAATGAATGTGAATAATTTAAACTATTCAATTTCATAGAACAGACTTTCAAACTAATATTTTTAAAAATCAAATCCTAAATATAATACTGCTTATAAAGGGTATATCTAACACAGTAAATAATAAAAGAGCAAGAAAAAGATAACAAATACGAAACAAAACTGTTGTACTTACCTTAGAGGACTTAAAGGTAATTACTAAAGATAAAAATTGCTATAATGATAAATTAATTCACTAAGAAAATATTATCAGTTCTAATCTTGAAAGGACCTACTAAATTAGCTTCAAAACATTAAAAAAAAAAAGACAACTGTCATCCTAATGAGAGAATTTTATGACAAACATCTTTCAGTAATTGCTAGCACAAGCAGATAATATTACCCGTAAGGACTTGAGACAATTAAATTAACAAACTTGACTTAATGGACATAGAACACTGTACTCACCTGGAATATTTATAAAAATGTGCCACATGATAGGCCATTCATAATATAAGTCCAAATTAATTTCAAAGAATCACAATCATACAGACCATGCTCTCTCACCACACTGAGGTTATAAATTAATAAGATTTTTTTAAAAAAAGAACTCATGCATTTGGAAATTCAAAAATCTTATTTTCAAATGACTCAAGAAGCCACAGTGCTGCACTACTGGACATGGTGGCAAACGCCTGTAATCTCAGCAGCTGGAGGCTGAGACAGGAGAATCGTGAGTTCAAAGCTAGCCTCAGCAAACCAAGGTGCTAAGCAACTCAGTGACACCCTGTCTCTAAATAATACAAAATAGGGCTGAGGAGGTGGCTCAGTGGTTGAGTGCCCCTGAATTCGATCTTTGGCACCCCTCTCCCACAAAAGTCATAGTGCTAATTTTTAAATACTTTAAAAATTGAACTATTATAAAAATAGTCCACGCAGAACTGGTACAATAACTAAATTTATAATTCTAACTACTTATATTAGAAAAGAGAGGCTAAAAATTACTGAATCAAGCCTTCAACTTAATTAGTTAGGATAAAAGAATAAACCCCTAAAAATTATAAGAAAGGAAACAATAAAGCTAAGATGAGAAATTAAACATACTAAAAACTCTGCTTTTTAAAAATACTAACTGAAAATGACAAACTTCTAGTAAAACTGACACAGAAAAAGAGAAATTATAAATCTTCAGAATTCAAAAGGACCCAGAACTATGGATATAGCAAAACTTTTAAGAGACAATTTTAGATCAGTAAACTTTAAAATGGAAAAAAATCCTAAGAAAAATAGAAATTACCAAAACTGACTTAAGAAGAAACAGAAAATATGACCTGTAGTTAAAAAATCTTCCCCCAAACATATATGAAGGCCAGAAAGTTTTACTCATAATTTCTAGCAAATACTAAGAACAGGTAAATCTACCAGGAAAAAAAAAAAGCAAGCACTCCCCAACTCTCTTATTTCTAATCATTAAAAATTAGAATAATCTAAAAAGCAGAAAAATGTATAAAATGCAGTATTAGCAATTAAAGTGAAGACTCTAGAGCTATATCTATTAATAAAAAAATCTCAAAAACAATTCCAAACAAAAAAAAAAACAGGTTTAATAATACATACAGCTGATAAAACTACCAAAAAGAAACAATATTTTATCTTAGTCTTCCGTATCAATAGCACCAAAAATCACACTAAATTTTAAATCCAACAAAACAATTCTATGCATTATGAATATATAAATTTGTAGACAAATTATAAAAATCTAAATGATAATCATGGCATTCCTAAGTTATTTCCTTTGGGCAAGATGTATGTTGGAAGGAAATTAGGGAGGAGGGAGATTCTAAGCTTTAAAAAATTTTATTTAGTTTAAAAAAAAAAAAATCAAGGGCTATGGGTGTTATTCAGTGGTAGAGCACTTGCTTAGTATGTTCGATGCCCTGGATACAATCCCCAGTACCACACACACACACACACAAAGCATCTAACAGTCACAAGAATAATTTTATTGTAAATATTTTATATTAAAAATAACCATAGAAGGTGTAGTGAAAAATAAGAACAATAGTTAGTATTTATTGAGCACTTACCTTGTATCAAAACTATTCTAAGTGCTTTATATATATTAACTCACATGCTACCTATGCTACCCCCTGAAGAAAGTACTACAGCATTAATATCCCCATTGTTCAAGTAGGGCATTAAGACACAAGATGTTAAGTACATTACACTATTGTTTTATAATCCTTTGGAAAACAACTGGATAACAGTAATCGATGGGCATGTCTTGAACTAAACACCTATAAATTTACTTAAAAGATACCTATCTTAAGGAAGTAACCAAAAGCATATCAAAGATCTGTATACAAAAAGGCACATGCTACTCTGTTAGTTATTAAGAGAAATAAAAGCCAAAGCAGACAAAATATATAACAGTAAAGCAGTTATAGAGAATCTATATAACAGATTAACAGTCAATAAAAACATTTGGCAAGAATTTTCATGAAAAAATGCTTATACCTTATTGTTAAACAACAAAAAAATTATACAGTAGTTCGACTATATAAAAAAATATACACAAAAAGGAAAGAGTGGAACAAAACATTTTAAAAAGGTAATATTTTTGTGGCTGAGTGGTAACATGGTAATATTACAGAAGAGTTTTTTTCTTTCACATGCATAAACTTAACAAATATTTTAATATGCACTGCTTATCAGGAAACACTACCAAATAAGAAAAAAAAAAAAAGGACCATAACATTATATTCTGTCCTCCTACTCAATTTCACCAAACTAATCTCTAAAACTCTAAACTAATCCCAAGGGAACAATATGGATGTAGGCCCCAAAACCAAGTTTTGATTAGTACATAATAAAACTGAAAAACAATGGAGTATGTTGTTTCTAAATAATTCCTTTTACTTACGTGGTAATTGTGGTGTTTTACTATCATGTGAACGGTAGTCTTCATGAGGGACAGACTTGTCATCCTAATTGCAAAAAAGTTTATTATATGATTAATATATTGCAAAATAAGGACTGTAATGTTGAGGATAGCAGATAAAAGATTTTAAAATGTTGAAGGTTTAAAGTGATATATAAGAACTCACCATTTTCACATGCATAGGTCTATCAAATAAAAACTGCCCATTGAACATAGCTGTTGGTTCAGTCAAGGAAAGACAGATGACTGTAAAATTATTCTTAAATACAAACTAATTATATTATTAAAGGAGTCTCCAACTAGCTCTAACGTTTTAATGTCTTTAATATTTATTCATACTAGTCTCTTCCACACAAAGAAAACTCTAATTCTTTTATTTTTATAAATAATATATTCTTTTAATTGAAAAAGAAAATTAATAAGGCTTCATCTAAATCAACTGCATTAATGTACAATGTAGTACATAACTGTCAAAAGCATGTGTATATACATACAATTAGTTGGTAGAAAGGGAAAGCAGAAAAAAGTTCACACCAGTCCTGTACAATATGGCTAATTCAAGTTTTAAGAGTGACTTTAGTAGTTGGACATAGTAAATATTTTATGAGCTGGAGACTAAAGTCTAACAAATTTCTAAGCTAAACAACCTTAAATTCCATAACCCCCACAAAACAGTATCAAGCTTCTCCAACTTCATTAAACAATGCTAAGTATAAATCAGGATACAAATTGCTTGAACTGCTTCAATTGCTTGCTCAAAAGTGACAGTGCCCATTCCTCTGCTCTTTCCATCTTTGTCTTCTTTAATATCTGCCCGCTTTACAGTTCCAGCTATGCTGAACACTTCCTTTAGCTTCTTCCAACCAACTTTGAAGTCAAGCTTAACATAAAATTGTATAAAGTTACACACCTAATAAATCTCTTTCCCCATTTATATATACAAAATAATCTTTTCTAAACTCTCCAAACTATAAATAACTATAATTCACATTCAATAGTAGACCAATAATGTTCAAATAAAACACGAGTTGCTTAAAAATCAGTTCAGTCACATCTACATTATTCCATATTCTTATTATTTTAATTCCCAAAATTGTCTCTCAACTGCTCAATCCTGCTTTCTACATATGAACTTGCACATCTACTTTTACCAGGAGAAATTCAGATTTGGGAATTATTGTCCATGTCACTGACTTTCAAGAGCTTATAACAAAAAACCAACTGTGACATGCACATTCACAAATATCAAGGCCAAAAGAATGAAATCCATTTACCAATATGAATAAAAAGGCATATAATTAAAGTACATAATTTCAAGAAATGCTCAAATGATTATAAATTCCACAGTTCTCTGTGTAAAAAACTCTAAATTGTATTTAGACTAATCACACACATGTAGACTTAAACTGGATTTGAGCTTAAAATAATTAACTTCATTTACTTTAGTTAAAAATAAGCAAAATGTTCTATAAACCACTCATCTAATTAAACAATTTCATAAATGGAACTATGCATCTGAACAATAAAATTTTAGACTAAAACTTACATTAGCAACAAAAATTGTAGAACCAAGTCTACCAGCCTGCAAATTACTGATAACCTCAGGAGGAATGTTTGGATTATTGAGAATGGAAGGTGGTAAATTCATCAACCCCGATCCCATATCAGGGACATGTCCTCCTGGAAATGATCCTCCTGTTCGTTGCAATGCCCTACGAGCATTTTCTCCATCAGGATCCTATAACACACATTGAATGTTAAATGCCACTAAATATATCAGTAAATCTACAGAATTAAAATAACAACTTCAAATTTGACATTAGCTAACCCTCAAATTATTGACCCTCTTGAGAAGTGAGATTTTTGTTTTGTTTTCTCATCCAGAGAACTGAGTCCCATAAAAACCTGTGGACAGACAAAAGATTTCAGTCTCCAGGAATGGCAATTAAATACTTCTTTCCAAGCACTAAAGTCACTTAAGAACTTGAAATTAGTTTAATTTTGTCCTCATTCTAGTGTACAAGTATGACATATACACATCATACACATAAATGCACATAACTCAAAGAGAAGCAAAATACTTACTATGATTCTTTTCTTTCCAAACTGCAATCATGGTGAAGTCTCACCACTGGATGACCAATGGAATGTCAAATTGACAATCCAAAACTTTCAGTAGTGGAACAGACTTACAAAACAAGACTTTCAGTAGTGTAACAGAACAAAACTCAGGGTGGGAGAGTATTATAACTGACAAATTTCATTACTGAACAAAATACAAGTATCCACCTTCTAACCTCTTATCTTCCTCAACAACGATTATGATCTGAGACAGGAGCAAGGGAGAGGTAAAAGAAGGCTAGTGTCCAGTGAAGAATGATAGAAAACTTTTCTTTAAATTCATTAATTTTATAAGAGTAATATCCATTGTAAAACAAAACAAGAAGTTTAAAAATACTTCTCACTCATCCCTCTAGGTAGGATGCAAACAATACATACCCCAAACAAACAAAAAAACAAACAAAACAAAAAAACAAAAAAAACACATGAACACACTGATAGATAACCATCTGCAATGACAAATAATTATGTTAAACGACCATCAATTCTACTCTGCTGGCCTCACTCTGAAAATATTAATAAAAACAAAGTTGGATGACTTTAACAAATTCCCTAAGATGGCCAGAAAGTAAATGCAAGAATAAAATTTTCCTGGCTTACAATAAACTACTTCACTACTAAAAAATAAAAAAAGATTACAAAAGTAAAGATATGTTATCAAACAATGCTAATAAGACTTAAGTTAGAAAATGTTTCAGGTTTGAAGATGCAAAAATATACACAAAAACAAAACTTAAAATAGTGGTTATTTATATGGGATAAAAAAACAGGAAGGAAGATGCTTCTTGAACTATTACAGTTAGGTTGCTTGGGCTTAACATAAATAAAACATATGGCTATATTTTGTCTTTTATATATAGGTGTATATATAAAACAAATCACCTACTATTTATAACTTGGTTTTTATTCCTCTTTTCCTCTTGTTGTCCTCCTGCCGATCACTAATTGCTATTGTCTACCTAATAGAGGGTCTATAAATACATTTACAACTGCAACTAATCTCTATTTAATTAAATGGAAAAAAGTAATTTTTAGATTTTTTTAAGGAGCATGGATATATACTTTTCTTGGACTTCCATTCCAGTAGTAATTCTAATCACTTACCCCAATCACCCATGGTAAATTAGATATTCCCAGAAAAGGGATTGCCTTTAGTGATTTTAATCCAAAAAAATTTAATTAAATAAATCCCCCATCACTTAGTGAGGCCAAATTTGACCATTTTTTCCTCTGAAAAATATTTAAAAATAAAGGCATTCTACATCAACTTGGACCATATAATTCTATTTTGGGATCTGAAATATAGAGGATCTACAATATGCTAAAATTTATAAGAACACAATAATATGGTCTCACTTTGGCATTCAAAATACTTTTTTTTTTTTTCCAATTAAAAGCAGAAGACACCGAGATTCCAGTATTTGTCTCCAGAAGAGATAGTGAAAAATCAAACACCAAATTGAGGAAAATTATTTAGGATGCTAACAATTCTGAAGCACTGAGACTGACTTATGCAAAAGAGCCACCAAATAAATGGCTGGCACAAACTACAAAATCTAAACCTTCTCTATCAATTGTCCACATCCCTGTCCAAAAAAAAAAAAAAATTAAATAATAACCCTTAGGCTTAAACAGTTTCAGAATATTGAAGCTAATTCCAATAAAGGGACATGAGATACACATATAGTTGATAGCATGGCCTTTAATTTCAATCTATGATCATACTCAAGAACAGGAAACCAAAAACAGAAAACAAAAAAAGAGAACAATGAGTCCTAGACGGGATTAATAACAATCATTAATTTTACAGCTAATATTTATGAGATAGTTAAGTATTCTGAACACTGCATTAAGGGCTTTATATAATAATATCACAAGTATAAGAAATAGCTAATATTAATTAAATAATTTACATATATTAATTGTTGGAGCTAATTATTCTCAAGGTCACTTACATCTAACTAAGTAGTATTTTAATGTATCTTTTGCTTACTCTTTCCTCAACTTACTTATACTGCTAAATTCTATACAAAAGAACACTTCCACTTTAGGGTTGTAGTTCAGGTTTCAATAATAGAATTATAACTCCTCTTGAATTTAAATCTCTAAATAAATTTATTAAAATGAATACCATGCTGGAACCATGGTGCACCTGTAATCCCAGCGGCTTAGGAGGCTGAGGCAGAAGGATTGTGAGTTCAAAGCCAACCTCAGCAACTTAGTGAGGCCCTAAGCAACTTAGTGAGACCCTGACTCTAAATAAAATACAAAACAGGGCTTGGGATATGGCTCAGTAGTCGTTAACCCCTGAGCTCAATCCCTTTTACGAAAAAAAAAAAAAAAAGAACAGCACAATAAGGTTGTGCACATATGTGAATGTAACACAATGAATTTCACCTTTACATATATCTATAAAGTACTAATTTATAAAAACAATAAATAGATGTGGGGAAGGCCAGTGGAGTAGAGGAAGGAGTGTTTGGGAACCAAAATGGAGCAAATTACACTATACATATATGTGATTATGTCAAATGATCCTCACTATTATGTATATCTATAATGCACTAATAAAAACATTTTAAAAAGTGAATAACAATTTTATTCAAATCCATAATGTATGCATTATTAAGCAAGATTTCACTGTCAACTACAAAAATATCTATTCTATTTCTCAAACAACAGAATCTAAAAACTGAAAATATCTAAATCAATTAAAGTCAGCACCTAAAGTCTGTCATGCTTAAATTTGTGAGTCTTTAATTCTTCTAAAATTATGCACCTCTGTAACAACTTGGAATAAATCAAATACAGGTACCTACTTAAGGGCAAAAAGAAGTCATATACAAGTAAGACTACTATTAACAGATAATGCTTTAATAAGCATTTATGCTTACATTACAAATACATTATCAAAAATGAAAATTCAAAGAAAGCATGATCATATAGTCAAATGTTCAAATTTCAAATATAAGGAATCTTACCTCTTTAATATTAAGGGGTCTTCCACTAAGATCATATTTGTTCATAGTTTCTAGTGCTTTCTTTACAAATTCTTCATCTTTGAATTCAACAACACTTAATGGGGAAAAAAATTATAAGAAATGTTTATGTACTAAGATTTGCTTCCAATAAGAAGTTTAATTTGACTTAAGATACTTAAAAAAAAAAAAAATTCTTACCCACAACCCTATATCCAGGTAGATTTGTCAATATATGCAAAAGAAAAAAAGTTTTCAATCAGTAGATGAAGTTAATAGCAGATTCTAACATTTAAGTTACCAAAAATAATCAATAATGCAATCACTTTTCATCTTTTTAACCACCAGGCAAGTGATCATAAATTTTCTGTAAATTTTTAAGTCTAACTATTGAAATAACAGAATACATGTAAAAACTTGGAGTACATTTTTACTTCCAGAGGACTTTTCTTAAAAGTTAAAACTAGTATCCCTGTACAAATTAATCAACAGTAATTCGAGGAACTCCAGTTTCCCATGTATATGACCTGACATAGTCACAAATATTTTCAATAGAAACACTGGGCATAATATATTTTTCAAATCTAATCACATCAAAATCGAAAATAAATAATAATTTTAGTAAAGTTCTCTATTAGATTAAAACTGGCTGTACACAATAGTAACCAGTTATAAATATTTTTTTAAAAATCACCTATGCTGAAGAGAATCATTTTTTTAAAAAACAATTCCTTGTCATTACTGTTCAAAATTCCATTTGATTGTAATGACAAAGTTTTTATTTCTCATGTATTCAAACTGGTTTATGCTAATATAGTTAAACACTGTTAAGGACTTTTCACTGTATTCTTCTATACATTGCACTCTTGTTGCTAAAAATCAAAATCTACTATCAACCAAATCCTTCTCTATCGATTTAATCATCAACAGCATTCATACTGATTGGCAGAACACTGCCTCTTATATAGTCCTGTAGGCTACCAAGTTAAGCTTTTCAATAAGTTTCAAAAATACATTCTGAATTAACACCTTTTAGCTATAGGTCTCTCATAAATCTCTTAGGGAATATTATCAATTCAGTGAGTTTTAAAAGATCCTTGAAGACATCAAAATACAACAAAAAAAATCCTATATTAAAATCTTATTGACTAGGAAGAAGCATTACCTTAAGAGCATTAGAAAAGTGAATGCCCTTTATGAGCATTTACAAAACCCATCCCTTCCAGGCAGCTAGTTTGGTTGGTACAGGTGTCAAACTTGCTAGTATAAAGCCTCAAATCTTGCATAATAAAGTAAAACAAAATGAAACTTAAGTTTCCAAAAACTGGTACAAGTATTATACAAAAAGTAAACTGCTGAGGAACTTTTACACCTCAAGCAGATATTGCCCACAGCACTTACCCTTGATTTTCCTTCCGCATCCTTAAAGAGCTCCACGTATGTAACCTCACCAACTACATAAGACATACAAAAGGAAGATACCAAGAAACAATACATTTAAACACCAATATCTTGCTTTACTGCACACCTGTGCACAACTCTACAGAAAAGCACCTATTATTCACCAACAATCAAAACCAGACCAACATACCTCCTCAAATGGCTATGTAAATTTGACTGATTTTCAGAAATGTACATCATCCACATTCTCTAAAAAAAGCTAACAACCATATTAACCTAATTCATACTACAGATCATATTTTGGCCAGCATGATATAGTTGGTGAACAAATGCACATATACATACAAATGGCCCCTTAGCCTATCATATTAAAAAAAACATCAACATTGGCACTTTTCAAATAACTTTGATCAGCCTACACACAACAACTGTTTTAAGGTGACTTTCTACCTGAATGTCTTCAATCATGTTTGCCATCAGTAAACTAAATTTACAAGTCATGCTTCACAGCAAGCCACACACTTTCTAAATAAAGTCAATGAATAAAACCAATCAAATAGTTGTCACCTTACAACAGATAATACACCAATGCAATTTTTTTTTAATTTATTAAAGAGATCAGCCTCAAAGCCAAGTACATAATTTGCAGGACTGTTGAAACTCAATTTTTCAAGAGATAACAGAACTATCTTTTACAAGATCAAGTATTAAAGTTATTTTTCCCCAAAATCAACCATGTATATAAGATGAAGGTTTTCAGATTATTCTGAAAACAAAACTGCAACAGCAGTAACGCAATTTTAATATAGAACTGCAAAGACAGCATCATGGCAGTCGTGACAATGCAAACAAAATGAATTCCACAGCCAGATTCCAGACTCCATCAAGATAATAACAAAACAGCTTTTGGAAAAAAAATAATCAGACCTTATTATTCATACATTAACACTCTAAATGTATTACTTAACTAATGCAATAATCCTTTAAAAATCTATAAAAACTTCAACTAGACAAAGCAATCGCTTTAACAAAATTCTTGATGGCATGCAAATGCTGGCTCACTACTATCCCACTAAAATATCAAAAAAAAAAAAAATACTTTTATCCATACTATCGTGTAATGAAATTGTGTCAAGTGAAAGAAGAGGAAAAGATTAATTCATACATCAAGAAATAAAAATCAATTTTTTTGAGTCTGTGTGGCTAAGAGGAATAAAAAAGTTTTGCATAGTTTCTTCCCCTTCCTACATGAAGATCATCCAGCAGTGGGTTATTTCAGAGATAATTACCTTTTTCTCTCATTAGATCTTTAATAGCTTGCCATTTCATGTCATACGGGATGTTGCTAATGAAAACTCTGTTACGATTTGGACCCTTCTTTTCTCCAGTGCCCAAATTCTTGTCTTTTGAATAAGGATGAAATCTATTGGCCTTCTTATTTCCTGAAGATTTTTCTTTTAAGTCAGATTTTTCTTCTTTCACTGATTCATCATTCTCCCTAAGAATTTTAAAAACAAAACAAAACAAAAAACACCCTCATTTGTGCTTCTAAGAATGGAAGTCTATATTAAATAATTCATATTTATCATTTCATAAAACTTTCCACTAAGCTAGACCTTAGCAAAGCAACTAGAAAGTGAGCCTGACAGCTTTGATATTACCCAAGACTTTTCAAAACAAGGGTTTGGCACACAGTAAATAGCTACAATCATTCAAATCACTCAGTTTTCCTCTCCATGTACTTATACTTAATAAAGTGTTATTGGACACTGTGGGGGGGGTGATTCTACAGTATATAAAACTGCCACTTTTAATAAAAAATTAACTTTCTGCCTTCGTTAAAAACTCTAAAATTGATACTGGAAAAGTTTACCTCTTAAAGGTTAACAATTTCTTCCCATTTCACCTTCCTCTAAATGTATAGCTATGCTATATATCTACACATATACATACTATACATTCACTTGAGATTCAAAATTTTTCTATTCCCAACTCTGATAAGCAGAAAATTTATAAAGTATCCTAATATCTTCATGTTAAAAATTTTTCTGGGTTTTAAGCAATAAAATAGAATAGGCACTTCATAGAATTATTTTTTTTATTAGTAAGATTACCTACGATGAGGGCATAGGGTAGAGGAAAGAGGCAGTCACTGAATGCAAAATGTGCGAGACTGATAAATCTTTTTCATGAGGCCTACCTGGAAAAGCATTTCATTTATGAGATTATAATCACAATGCAACTATTATGATGCTACATATCAAACTTAACATATAGGTTTATACTTAAGACAAACCCTATAGATATAAATCTGGATTTATATTTTAAAATGCAATTTACTTTTCAAAAGGATCTTTTTTACAGAAGTTACAATACAATAAATTTCTTTTAAGGCATTACTCTGATGAATTTAAAATAATTTAATTAACAAAACATCAATTTTAAAGCACTTTTTATAAACATACTAATAAAAATTTCCAAGAACCATGTATGATGACGCACACCTGTAATCCCAGCAACTCAGAAGACTGAGAAAGAAGGTTGGCAAGTTTGAGGCCATCCTCACCAATTAGTGAGACCCTGTCTCAAAATGGGGGGGGTGGGGGAGAGCCAGGAGTGTACCTCAGTGGTAAAGCATCTCGGGGTTCAATCCCCCAGTACTGGAAAAAAAATCCACCACAAATGGTCTACCAGAAAAGTTGCTAAAATCAAAAAAGACACATTAGTACCAAACATATTTTGACACCTTTTCAGACCTTGATAGGGATATCTTCACTGTCAAACATATTCCCTCATCAGAAATAGCATGACCTACATATCTTTTCTCTCATATGTAGATGATAGAGAAGAATAAGAAAAAGAAAGGTGGGAGGGGGAAATAATATTGGCTGAATTATAATACAATTGTATGTGTGTACAAATTTATAACAATAAATCCCACCATTATGTACAACTATAATTCGCCAGTAAAAATGGGGGGGGGGGGTAAGCAATGGCAATACTTAGAAGGTCTTCTTAACTGTTCAACTCCAGAAAAGTACCTCCCTGTCAGAACACAGTGGCATTCTGAAAATGATAGTGAGAGGTTAAAAGTCTATTCTCTGGTTCCTGGGTACAGAAGAAACAACAACCCCTTCATTTTAATCCCCCAAAGGACCAATTACACAACAGGCTTAGGCTGAATTCAATGTATGTTTTTAAAATAATTAAATTTCTGTTCAGGAGAGCAGTTATCCATAAAATCTCTAGATAAATATCCCTCCCCCTATTTTCTTCCTGAAGGAAATCAATTGTGAAAATGCATGAAGTTCTGATATATAATGTTCTGTTCTAGGTGGAGGTTAATAAATGTGGTAAACATTTGCTTACAATAATCTAACAATTCCATTTTAAAAGTAGTAATATTATATCTCTTCTTTAAAATATTTACTTAAAGGATGGCCAAAGAGAGCAATTTCGGTAATTTCCCCCCAATTTGTAGCATCTTTAAAATACCTCTAAGCTGTTCATCTGCAACACATAAATTATCTATGGAAGGCATACCAGTTTAGGGGCTAGAACGATGATTTGATTAAGAAACTAAGCCATAATTATACCAGTCCTGAATTTTATGCCATAAATACACTACAGAAAGACAGTTAAAAAAAAAAAAGTGAAATGATGCTACCAGAATATTTCCAGAATTCCATGTTCTAATTCTCAAGCTATTCACTTTTGCAAGCCCCTCCTTCTTAATATAATTAAAAGACTCCAGAATAAACAAAAATTTATCTGCTCTTTAAGACTAAATTATTCCTTCCCAAATAATAACAAATTTCTGAAAAAATTTAATATCTAACACTGAATGTAGAAACATAGTATTAATATGTGATTTTAAAAGCATAATGCTATAATGAGATCCAGAATTAATCCCAGTTCTAGGACAAACACCAGAGGGAAATTCATAATGATAAAAGCCTATATACAGAAAAAAAGAAAGATCTCAAAACAATCTAACTTCACCTAAGGAATTAAAAATTAACTAACCACAGAGTTAATAAAAGGAAGGAAATAACAAACATCAAAGCATAAATAAATATATTAGAAAAATAGAAGATCAACAAAACTAAAAGTTATTTTTTAAAAAAAGATAAACTGACAAATATTAAGTCAGACACTAACGAAAAAAGAGAAGAATCAACATCAAACAGAAGAGAAATTACAACTGACCACATAGAACTACAAAGGACAATACAAACCTATTATGACCAATTATCCACGAGGAAATCTAGAATGAATAAATTCCTAGAAACAGACAACTTACCAAAAACAAATCTTGAAGAAACAGACATCCCAATCCACCAATAAAAAGAAGGAAGACTGGGAGACTGAATCAGTACTCAAAATCTCCCATCGGTGAAAAGTCTAGGACATGAGAGCTTCATGGGAAAATTCTACCAAACACTAAAAAAAACTATTTCAAAAAACCAGAATGAGAGAACTCTTTCAAATCATTTTATAAGGCCAACATTACTGTGTACCAAAGTCAGACAAAGAGAATTATAGGCCAATATCCCTGATGAACACAGGTGCAAAAATCCTGAACAAAATGCTAGCAAACTGAATTCAACAGCACATTAGAAGGATGTAAGACTGGATAAACATATGCAAATCAGTAAGCATGGTATAACACATTAACAAAGTGAAGGTAAAAAAAAAAAATGATCACCTCAATAGATCTGGGAAAAGAACTTTACAAATTTCAAACTTTCCTCTAAAACCAGGAATAGGAAAAAGATGCCTGCTCTCACCACTACTATTCAACTTTTTATTATTAAAAGTCCTGGCCAGAGCAATTAGGCAAGAAAAACAAAAGGCATCCAAATTGGAAAGTAAAAAACAAAATTATCTCTGTTTGCTAATAATGTGATCTTATATACAGAAAACCATTAAAGAGTTCACCAAAAAGAAAGAAAAAAGAGCTGGGCATCGTGGGGCACACCCGTAATCCTAGTGATCAGGTGGCTGAGACAGGAAGATTCCGAGTTCAAAGCCAGCCTCAGCAACAGCGAGGTGCTAAGCAACCCTGTCTCTACATAAAATACAAAATAGGGCTGGGAATGTGGCTCAGTGGTTGTGTGCCCCTGAGTTCAATCCCCGGTGGCCCTTGAAAAAAGAAAAGAAAAAAGATGCTAAAAGTAGAAGAGAAACTATTAGGCAATGGGAAAGGGACCAGTTAGGGAGTCAGGGGAAAAGGGAGAGTGGACATATGAATGTATGATGCATGCATGTATGGAAATGTCACAGTGAAACCTATTAACTTGTATAATTAATATGTATTAATAGGGGTCCACCAAAAGTAATTCAGTAAAATTATAGGATACAAGACCGACATACCAAAATGAATGTGCCTCTCTATACATCAACAATAAACTATCAAAAAATTAACAGCACATCCCATTTATAATAGCACCAAAAAACAAAAAAACACCTAGGAATAAATTTAACCAAGGCAATGAAAGACACTGAAAACCATAAAACAATGATGAAAGAAACTGAAGACAACACTAATAAATGGATAGATACTCTGTGTTCATGGACCAGAAGAACTGATGTTAGAAATATGTCCATATTATCCAAAATGACCTATCAATTCAATGCAATCCTATTAAAATTCTAACGCTATTTTTCACAGAAATAGAAAAAAATATCTCAAATGTATATGGAACTACAAAAGATCCTAAGTAGCTAAAGCAATCTTGAACAACAACAAAACTGGAGACATCACACTTCCTAATTTAAATTATATTATGAAGCCAGAGTAATCAAAACAATAAGATACTGACATAAAAACATACATACAAATCAATGGAAGATTATAGAAAGCTCAGAAATATATGCAAACATACAGTCAACTAATACTTGACACTGAGGAAAAGAGAGTCTCTTCGATAAATAGTGCTAAGAAAAGACGATATCCGTATTCAATGAAATGGAACTGAATCCTTATCTTAGAACAAACATGAAAATCATCAAACCAACTAGATTGAAAACTTAAACATAACAGCTGAAACCATGTAACTCAAGAAAATACAGAGGGGAAAAACACTCCATAACACTGGCCTTAACAATGACTGTTCTGGGTATGACACCAAAAGTCCAGGCAATAAAGGCAAAAATAAACAAGTGGACTACATCAAACAAAAAAGTTTCTGACCAGCAAAGGAAACAATCAACAAAACAAAAAGGCAATCTACTGAATGGGAAAAAGTATTCACAAACCATTTATTAAAGAGCAGTATCAAAAACATAAGGAGCTCATACAACTCAATAGCAAAACATAAACGTCAAAAAACAACCTAATTAAAAAGTGGATAAAGAACCTAAACAGATTAATCTTCCAAAGATGACATGCAAATGACTAAAAGGTATATGAAAAGGTGCTCAACAACACTAATGATCAGGGGAATACAATTCAAAACCACAATGAGGCATCACATAACCTGTTAGAAAGACTAT